TTGAAAATTGTCATGTCAGGCATTAATAAAATATCTACAGAAAAGCACTGTAAAGGTAAACTTCACTGGCGCCTTCACTTACTGAATATATCCTGGTAAATAGCTTTTGTTTCTGCTGTCAGATTTAAACAAGACTTCCTAATCTGAAATCAGAAGCAGCATCTACTGTTGGACAGTATGGCAGACAGCAGTTGGATATTGTCTGTCATATTGTCATGAATTGTAAGAAGAGAAATTTTGGGACCACAGCTAGGAGCAACAATGAAAAGGAACATATATTGACTTTCCATGTTACCTTCTCTGACTGAGCATGGAAGCTCTGCCTTGCCTATGCTCTCGTTGCAATGGGTTCTGACACATCTAATACTTCATTCCTAACTACGGATGCATTCAGCAGAAAAGTGAGGGAAGTACTGTTGATTAAAAGTTAGTTGTTTCCAAGTAATTCTGTGATGGTTGAAGCTATGAATTTCTCAAAATATTCAGACAGGCCTATATAACTTAATCTGATTTTTACCCGTTCCCTGGAAGACTACAGCTGTGTTTCCTTCTGTCAAATACATGCCACCTCTTCTAATCAGTTTTTAACGGTAGGCAGCACAAGCTGAATGAAAAATAACATACTTAGAATAATTTAGAACTTAAAATTCCACTGGGTTATCTTTCTTACACTACAGAAATATTTTTAAATGAGGAGGGAAAGGAGGAAGTGCTTCCTAATCCATGACCTGATGCACTGAAGTTGAGAATATCCATACTCTGTATATAAGAAGTATGAACAATTAGTTGAAATACAAGTCTGTGTGTGCCTGCATGCATATATATATATATTTAAATGAAGATACTAATATTTCTAGAAGTAATAAACTGGAGTGAAAACACAGGTTTCTTCTGTATTCTGAAATGTAATCCTTTATGGAATTGTTTAGTTTCATGGGGGAAATGTTTTTGGAGTCACTTTTTAATAGATATAAATATTCCAACTATTTCATTTTTGAGAAATCAGAAGACAGGATCATCTGTTAATACTGTTCATACAGGCTTAAAACCATGTTGCAAACAGTAATTCAAAATGTCTTGTTTCTGCACTGATGCAGACAGGGAAATATTTATTTTTAGTGTAAAATTCAGTAATACATGAAAGGTATGTACATTACCAAATAACACCCTTACAGAAGTGATCTAGCAAAAACCTGGGTTTTCATATTAAATTATAAGCAGCATATTAAATACTTGAAAAATATTATGTTCTTGTGATTGTGTTCTCCAGTGAATGGTATAAATATGCGAAATGCTTGTTTTAGTAAATGATTTCATTTATATTTTCCGTCTTATATGTTAAACGTTTTTTACATTCAGGGAAACTGAACCAGTTTGGAATATGACGAGAGATATCTTTTAAATACATGTGCCTTACTGAGAAAATGAGAACATTAAATTATTAATTCCAGACAATCCTTTTGCATGAAAATTATGCACAGTTCACTCCTAAATTTATCTGAAACAGTGAACCTTTGGGGAGATGTTTTTGGAACTGCTTGTCTGCAGAACGACCTCAAAAGAAGCTTGGTTACTTAACTTGCCAGTATATTTTTTTACACACATCTTAACGCACTGGTGGGGATGGAACGGTGGAGCGGATTGTACATATGGTCATTTTGCTGTCCGCTGACTTCCGTTTGTCAGAGCACAAATAGGGGAGGGGGGAGAGCGTTGCACTAGGATGCAAGTGGCTTTGTCGTAATCATAGGTGAGTTTGTAACTTCACTTTTCCAAAGCGTGGGAATGGCAGTCCTCCCAGCAAAGCCATATCACGACCTGGTAATAAAATTGGCTGAGGCGGCTACTTCACCCCTATGGTCATGGTTCAAGCCGCTCGCTGTTTACTCAGCACAAAAGTATTCCCCTGGAGTTGTTGGGTCGGTCTTCGTTCATGCAGACAGCACAGTTACCCTCACGAGCTTTGCACAGGTTTGGACAATAAATATACTTGCTAAGGTTCGTTTTCCTGTGAATTCCACTCTGTCCGTCTAATGTCCTTCTCATATCCCTGTCTTCAAGGTATTTTGGTCCTTCTTATTGGGTCTGATTGACATTGCTAGCATGCACAATTTGATCTCAATTTCCTATTGACATGAAGTGGATCTTAGAATTAGCAAATACCAAGCTATTAATGTTCATGTTTGATACTAAATCAGAGTATAAAATAACTCGTGTAGCTGAAGTAGTCACAAAAGCAAGCATATAGCTCCCAAAGAATTGCAAACCAACGCCTTTCTGCTTGGTTGTTTCATAACTCCCTGTATGAAAAAAGTACAGTAAGTGCTTAAAAAATATGCTGGGGATTTTACATATACTGAAGTCTGTTCAAAGTTGTGGTTTCTCTAGCAGCTGCAGCTGTGCCACTTTTCCTAGACATACTAAAGCGCAGAGGTTAGCATCTCTACAGTAAGACTGAGTTTAGACATTGTTGGATTTTGACATTCATGACTCCTGTGTCAAGTTTTTAAATAATCAGCAGTGTCAGTCTTTATAATAAATAAATACTTTCATGCAAGGCAGCTGAAGGGGGGACCACCTTCCGTTGGAGCTGGAAGGCAGACAGCAATGAGAAGGCATCACTGAGCGGGGATCTTCTGAACAGATTGTTTCAGAGTGCAGTGCCTTCTCGTATGAGTTAACAGCCAAAAATCTTGTCAGTCTGCTGTGATAGTTTCCTTAGTCAAGTGATTTCCAGGCTGGTGAAGTGACTGGTGCTTCTTAATGTTTCTGCTGTTTTGTTCCAACTTGTCAATGTTGTGGGCTACCGGGAGGGGTAGTCTCCAACTACAGGGAGTTTGCATGTAGCAGAACAAAGTAATGAAAAATTATAATATTTGATGTGCAGGGAAACGAATCTTGCTATAGTCTGCCAGTTATTTGTGTTCTTAAATAAAAAAGTAGAGGAGAGCAAAGCGTCACCTTCTTTCTAAATTATAAATTTACTCTTTTGTTCTATTACACCTTTTTTCTTAGAAAAATAAAATACCAGTTCTTCTCTAATTATTCTTTAGCAGATGGGAAAGAATGTTGCAATTATGCAAGAGGTGGCATCGTATTCTTTTAAATAAGTGTTGGAAGCTTCCTATTATTTGGTTTTAATTAAAAACTGCATCTCGACTGTGCTCTTTACTAATCAGACCACTTCTCTATCCACATTAGAGTTCTAGAAACTTCAAAGTGCTGAAAGCTCACATCTGCCTTCAGCCTCACATGTTTCTCTAGGGTAGTAAGATATGTTCCATGTGTTATTGCTAAACTGTTAATGCTGATACTCCAGTGATTGACCTCTGCTCTTGAAATGGATCTTTTCACTCAGGTAGATAGTTGTCATGGTGTGGGGCACTGGAAAATAACTTCTTTCGCTTTAGTAAAAGGAGGAAGCGACCATTTTTCTGAAATACATAGCAACTCTTTTTAATATCCTTGATGCTTTTTGAAGTTTAAAGGTGGTGATCTGTATTCTGTTTGAAATTTGAAATATATTGCTATGTTAGTTTGTAAATGTGTGTCTGAAGTTTCTGGTTGAGATATTTGAAGTTAGCTACCTATGTGTAATTGTGTGTCTTTAAAAACAAGCAAACAAAACAACCCAAATCCTTTAATTAGGATACTAGGTAAGTTAAAATTTGCTTTGCCGAAACTTACTCTGAATAATGAGCACAGTGGATACAACACATGCAGCTAGAAGGAAGTTTGTTCTTTAAACGTGCTAGAGCAGCAAGTACAAATCGGTTTATATTGTTAGTAGTAGTTTTTTTAGTGTCCTGTAATCTAGGGATTTTAGAATACTGATCTCCCATGATATATCAACAGCCATGCCAGTTGTCATGGTGGTGTTTTGTTTAGAGAGAAAGTTTTGACTTAATTCAGCTAGTTGCTCTGCCAAAGAAGTATGACTTCTGCAGTGAGTAGTGGATACTTTGAGACTTCACTTCTTATTTTGCCCAAGAAAGCTATCTTAAATTGCTGTTAATGGTCATCATGGTGTTCAGCAGAATCTAGACTCACCTTTGTATTTGTTGAGCTCTATGTAATGGCAACCCACTAATGATATACTTAGGAATAAAATTTATTTGCCAGTTCTTTCCACTTGTTCTCAGACAGCTTAAAATCAAATGAGAAGAGGTTGCTTTATTCCTTAAAAACATTTTGTGGTATTTTTGTTCCTATGTCTTTTGAAGTGTTTTCTTGCAATTCTCCTTAAAGCTAATCCTTTGGCCTTTCTTTTGTCATGCACAAACCCACTGTCACCTAGATCACTACATGTATTCATGTGTTAAAGTGGTTAAAGTGTTAAAGCACCAAGGCTGTAGAAGGTTAACTGTACAGAGCAAGAGCCATAGGTTCTTACCGATAATTGGCCCAGTGCGCCTGGCAGGGATGTTCATGTGGAGCTATAGAATAAAGTCAGTGCAAAGTACTCTTGAAAAAGGGGGAAGGATGGACCTTTTTCCTAATGCAAAGTTTAGTTATGTACCCTTGAGTAAATTCGCGTATCAAGAAGAACTTTATGGATTTTAAATACAAATTTTAATTCAAGAACACAGATCAGTGTATTTTGTCTGATACCTGGCTACCAAGTGTGGGCCTTCTCAGTAAGACACTTCTCACTAAAAATGTTGGTGTGCTTGAAAAAGACACTTGAAAAATGTGTAATGTGTACTGATAAGTTGGCGTGGCTCTCCGTGGGGAAGTCTCTAAGTGTTTTGTTTTGTTGTGAGTTGTTGGTTTTGGGTTTGTTTTTTTTTTTCTGAAGCACACTAGTATACCATCTTTTTGGGGAAGGAAGTCCTTACAGAATCTGAAGAATATCACAGTCTGAAAAATATCTTCTCTTGGAAATTGAATATATCTTTAATGGGGGCAGGGTGGGAGAGAATGAGCAGCTTTAATTATTCTCATGCTGTTACAAATATTAACAATTTTCACTTTAAATGTGATTCTGTTATCTTTTTAAGATGGTCCAGCTGAAGCATCTGTTACAAATGGAGGCACTGCTGCTGTGACAGCACTGAATGATGACCTGGATATCTTCGGTCCAATGATCTCTAATCCTTTACCAGCAGCTGCTATACCTCCTGCTCAGGTAAAATTTATTTAGTTATATGTGCACGTACGTATGTGCATGCACGTGCGTATTTTCCTTCAGGGAATTGCTCGTTCACCCAGAAGAAATGCGTACTTCTCAACACTCATGGCTGGAAAATCTTTAGCTGTAATGGCTGTATTTTTCTCACCTCTTCAAGCTTCCATACTGCTTGCATATAGCATTAGGAGATAGTGTGGTCTTCCCTTCTGATTCCCCCTGGTTATCCAGCTAAATTGGATTCTGTCACACCTTGGTGGTGATAGTCATGTTTTCTTTTAATTTATATTCTTTTGTCTTGTTCTTTTTTTTTAATAGGTATTGCTGAATATATTTTTACTTTATGTTCTCGGGTTATTGGGCTTTAAGTCCTACTTTTTAAGACCTCTTACTGCTTTGAGATGCTGATAATTAGGAAAGGCTACAGCAGATGCTTCTGTCTTAGAGCTGCTAAAAATTTGGGGTCTCAAGCTTCATACTCAAAATCAAGAATGGATGTCAAGAAAAACTAATATTGCTACCTGGGCTGATCTGTCTTTTGTCTCATCTTGGAACTTGTATGCCTTTCTTTCCCGAAGGAGGGGTAGCATAACCCCTGCACCTGGCCTGCTCCCCCTCTGATAGCTACGATAGTTTGGAAGCAACCCCACTGCCATGCCTGTTGTAGCCAAGAAAGGCAGCTTTGGGACACATAAAGACACTGCTTAAAGCTGCAGCTCTCTTAAAGTAGCCGTTAGCCTCAAAGAACAAGGTGTTGGTGATGGAAGTGGCTGGTGCAGATCAGAACACACATGTGCAGGCTTCCTTACCCAGACTGGCTTCTGAGAGGGAGGCTTTGGAGGAGCACTCAGCTAACCTCCCATCTGAGGGGCCCTTTTAAGGTAATTTAGAAGCTTATTTTTGCAGAAGGCTTTCTGTCTCACTCAGCAGAACTGAAAAGAACCATACATATTCTTGAATTTATGGTTTGAGACCTGTGATCTGTACTTGTTTCTCTTTATCCAGTAGTTTTCATAATATATGAAATGGAAGGGATGATGGAAAGGAATTCTGATTGAACTGGCATATCGTGATTAAGTTTCCAATTGTTCTCTTGATCATTGTGGTCACCTCAAAGCATATCCGTGTTGTTCAGCAGATTTGATTGTAATTTTTATTCTTTATCCCTTACTCTCCCTTCCCCTACTTGTTGCGGAGGGCTGACTTTGTGCAACATGCTAGGTAGCGTTTTAGAGGCTGAAACCACATTTCTTTTTAAACATAAAACTATCGATAGAGCAAGCTTCCAACCATGACTTAAGCCACCCGTAAATAGTGAGGGAAATGAGCTGTATACATGCGTTTAGGTTTGGATGTGTTAGCTAAAATTGCAAAGGAAAGTATTGGTATAGATTTTCTTGTCTCTTATGGAAGTCTCTGTTCAAAGGATGAGGAAGAACAGTGTCTGAGTGCTTGTTGTCTGCTATTCTACCACCTTACGTCAAAATTGATCTAGATGAACTTAACTGTAGAGCTAGATGTGAAAAGCAGTAGCCCGTTTCCAGCTTCACTGAGGTTTTTTTATGTATCCAATTTGGGTGTAGATTGAATAAATTCAAATCTAGAATCATGAAGTTTCCACTTGGCTCCAGAATAAATGGGCCAATGGTAGTAACGCACGTAATGGATAGGGTTGGAGTCTGGTTTTCCCCATTTCCTGCCTTTCTGAAGCTGGATGTGACTTCTTCTGTATGTACTTACTGTCTGCTCAGGAGAAAAGAGCAGCCTGAGAAACAAAAGAAAAGCCTTCTCTTGTTTCTATCCATGAACAAGCGACATGACCTGCTGGTTAAACGGGTGATTTAGCTGTAGAATGCAGGAAATCCAAAAGAAGGCAAAATATTTGAAAGTGAGAAAAAGCAAAGTGATGGACCATCCCTGGATGGCGATGATTGGTGATGGGTTAAATAATGGAATGGCTGCTAAAGCATATTGAGTTATATGTATTGGCAATTAAAGAACATAGATCATTTAAAGTGCATCTCTATGATAAAGATTTGATGGGGCTTTGAGCAACCTGATCCAGCTAAAGGTGTCCCTGCCCATGGCAGGGGGGTTGGAACTAGATGATCTTTAAGGTCCCTTCCAACCCAAACCATTCTATGATTCTGTGGTTCTGTGATCACTGGACCTTCTGTGAGATAAATGTTTTGAAATGTAGTTTATCTTTTATTGTGCTAGTTTCTAGACCAAGTATGGCACTTACTAAATGGATTAAAAAGTGGTAGAAAGGATAATACTGTGTAAGTATTACATTGTTTATATATTAGGAAACACGAATATATTTACTTGCTGTTAACAAACCTGTCCAGATTTTTAGTGACATTTAGCTTTTTCGAAGTGCCATAATCAGGAGCAGCAAACAGAACTTTTATCAAACACATGGTCCTTATGGCATATTGCAAGATTAAATTCTTGGTTATCTTCCATTTTTAATCAGTAATCTCCAAGAGAATGTTAATATAATCAGATAATTTCCCCAGATAAGAGACAGGAGCATGGGCAGGTAGCAGAAGATACGTTTCTGATGCCAGTTACATAGGTTGCTTGGTAAATTGGGGCAAAGGGAATATTCTGTTTTGCTTTAGGAATTACATAGGTTGCTTGGTAAACGGGCAAAGGGAATATTCTGTTTTGCTTTAGGATTAGCAAGGCCTTGCAGGCCTTGCGTTTCAGGACGGTGGTATCTAGTCTGGGAACTGGTGCTGGACAGGAGTTGAGGGTGCCTCTTATTTGGCAGTGGTATGAGTATTTTGTAAGATCCTTCACCTTGTAATATGGATAAAAGTTGTATGGGATTCAGAGAAGAGTCAGGACAGTATTGGAGACTGGGAAGTGTGCTTCATAAAGAGAGATTTTAAGAACTCAGTCTGTTTAATTTCTTGAAGTAAAAAAGTGGTATGATTATTTTGTGTAATTATTTTGTGCAAGACTGCAAATGAGAAAGTGGGCAAAAGCTAGAAGTGAGACCAGCAGTTGAGTAATCCTAACATTCAGTTCCTGTGTTTGGAATTGGAAAATTTAGAATAGAAATCCATGGCCAGTTCTTAAGTTGAGATGAGTAGCAACATCTCCCTTCTGATGAAAGGCTGAGGGAGCTGTGTCTCTTTAGCTTGGAGAAGAGGAGACTGAGGCGTGACCTCATCAATGTTTATAAATACGTAAACGGCGAGTGTCAGGAGGATGGAGCCGGGCTGTTCTCGGTGATGGCCAATGACAGGACAAGGGGCAACGGGTGCAAGCTGGAGCATAGGAGGTTCCACATTAACATAAGGAAAAGCTTTTTCACCGTGAGGGTGACAGAGCACTGTAACAGGCTGCCCAGAGAGGTTGTGGAGTCTCCTTCTCTGGGGACATTCAAAACCCCCCTGGACGCATTCCTATGTGACCTGCTCTGGGTGGTCCTGTGCTGGCAGGGGGGTTGGACTAGATGATCTTTTGAGGTCCCTTCCAAGCCCTAACATTCTGTGATTCTGTGTGATTCTGTGATTTGTTTGAATATCTATTAACAGAATGCATTGAAATTAAAAAATTAAGTAGAAGGGATCAAATGTGGAATAGTGTGGCTTGCTTTCTCACTCGGAGATATTTGCCATGCTGTTCTGCATAGTACGTGCTTCTGAGATACCACAATGGTATTTGTGAGCATCGAAAGAGAAGGGAATTTAATGGTGCTCCTCAAACTAATTTATAAAAGCAATGTATGACTGCTGATTTTTCAGAGGATTTTCAGTTTTCTTTTCCAGCCTAACCAGAAAGGCAGCATTTAGTGCTAAATGCACATGTTTTTATGGCACTGTGGAGCACAGAAATGTCTTTTTGAATGTTTTATTATGAGACTGAAACAACGTGATGTCTGCAAACCTTAGGATTTATGACTGTTGACATAGCCAAGACATGATTTTCGAATGAAAACAAAAGCATTTGGTTTTCCTTTTTCAATCATGATGAGCATTCAGGATCATATTCACTTTTGCTCTGCTTTCAGATATGTGTCTTTATTACAGTTTTCAAAAACACTTAGAATATTTCTTCCTACTGTTCGGTGTAGCTGGATGCTAATAAAAACTGTTTAATTTGTAAAGAACAATATGTGAATGAGTAACTTTTTTCCCTAGAATTTTGACTGTTAGCAAACTCAGGGACATTTAAGAAGAGTTAACTTAACCTACTCCAACTGTAAAGCTAGATAAAAGGCATATGCTGTATATTTGGTTGTACTAGAAAGGTTGACTAGATGACCCTTGAGGTCCCTTCCAACCTGCTATTCTATGATTTACCCATTATGTAGTATTGATGGACAGAAAAAAAGGAAAAAAAAAAGACATTTTGTATGTTTAGTTAGGCTTTTTCATGTGAAATGAGCATAGCTAAATTATAGCTATAGGTTTTGTGTTGCCAAACATTGTACAGAAACTGAGCAAAGGTCTGTCATTCTATAGCTATCCCTAAAATGATTTCCAAATTGTTTTAGCCAGATTTTAGTTTCAGACTTTGTATGGGTATGTCTTCCAGCAAAAATGTGCTCTTCATTCTTCGCTGAAAGTTGTAGAGAGGGGGAGAAGGGGCGAACTGTGAGATACTAAGTTTGAAAGTATTAATTTACTGAAACATTTAGTGTAAGTCTTTCTCCAAGCAGGATACTGAAATCCAGTCAACTTAAACTTCTTTGGATATTTTTGGGGGGGTGTTTGCGCCTGATTTGAATTCTATTGTATTGGGAGCTGAGAATTGGTTCAGTGGCTACAAAAATATATTTTTATAGAGATGGTATACGTTCTTCATGAGTCATGTCTGACAAAATTTCATGTAAAGTAGTAGCATGTTTTAGATAACTAGATGTTCTTAAATACTCCTTTTCCCCTGAGGCCTGGTGTGTGTACCTAGCATGGTTGCTATAGATCAGCAGACAAGCTTCAACTTGTTAACAAATTGTGGTGAAGATAATGTGTCAAAGTCCT